AATTCTATTATAATTGTACTTATCCCTCCATTCATTAGTTAGAAATGAACAAGCAATGATGGATGAAATATTGTGAATGTAACAGCCAAGATGAGCATGCTGGTCCACATACCAATTAGAATCTTTTATTTAGAATTCTTGGAATTGGAAGTGCTTCTGGTTTTCAGATTTCTTCAGATTTTGGAATACAATCTCTGGCTTTGTAATTTGCATATAGCATTTATAAAATGAGGCATCTTCGGAATGTAACCCAAGTATAAACACAATATCTCTTTACATTTCATTACACAAGTTATACATATACTATACTCTGAGGGTAGTTTTATATAAATAACATATGCCCTGAATATAGTTTTATACAAAACTAGCAGTAGAGCCTGGCGTTGCCCGGGGATGTAACAGTAAGATAGATCAAGTATCAACCATCATAAAGACTGAAAAATAAAATTGACAAAGATTATTGTTTAAGGTTGTTGGACACGCATGTCTTAATTAGTTTTTTTTTTTTTTTTTTTACGAATTGGTCAAACCCAAACTCAAACAAAAACATTGTTTTCAATCGTTATAAGTCTACTGATTGAATAGAATTTTTATTATAAACAATTGCCTTGTAAATGGAATTTTTAAAGCATTCTGAATGTAAAAATAAAGAAAAGTGTGCAAGACAATAAGAAACACTACCTGCCAAAAAAAAGTTGAAGTTTTGTTGAAATCTGTTGAAAAATGTAGGAAATCTGATCCCATATATAAACGAACACACACATACACACAAACAACCTGGGTTTTATAATAAGTATAACTCTATATGAGTTGTCCCCCTTTCATTCTGGCGACATAATTGTGTTTTATCGTGTTTTAAAATTGATTTCATGTAAAAACAATTGTTTTTCCAATTTTTGGCACTGTCAGAACCATCACAAGGTAATTTTACTTAGTCCTGTGAAGTTTTGTTGAAATCAGTTGAAAAATGTAGGAAATCCAATCCAATATATAAACGTACAGACACACACACACACACACACACACACACACACACACACACACACAATCTGCGTTTTTATAATAAGTAAGATGTAATAAATAGTGGCTTGGATTGAGGAATCGGAGAGCCAAGTTCAAATTCCACTCGAATCTATTATATTCACTTACGTGCTAATACACTTGGGAAAGGTATGAATCCTCTTCTTCTCCCCCCACCTATGGGTAAATAGCAGGACAAACTGGGTTCTATAGCCTTGGATGGCAACTGGTCTACTAGAGAAAAAATAGCAACCTATTATGGGGAAAAAAATCTGCCTCGTCAGTCATGTATTGAAAAATATATGATCGCCTAAGCGTGTGTCACACATGGCACATAACTGACTAAATTTTATGTGCATACTGTTACAGGTAATGACACCAGTCATGTAATGCTCACACAAATTTTTAAGTGATTTCATGTAAAAATGTTTTGTACTTTGCTGTACATGTACAAAAAAACTTACATTATTCGGTCTATTGTCCTCATCTTTGTCGCCATATTTATCACAATGTTTCAGCCGTTTTATGCTCCAGCCTTCTTCAGGTGGTTGGAATGTCGAACTGAACCCTTTATTTCATGCGCTAGGGTAGACTGTTCTAGTTCTATGTGGCATGTCTAATGGTTGTCAGTTCTCAGTTATAACCTGTTAATTCCCCTCTTCAAGTTCTCTACTACCTTAACCAGGTATTGAACTCACATTCTTAGTTGAGAACTTGGAGGGGGGAATTAACAGGAGATAACTGATAACCGACATCCATTACACATGGCATGTGGAACTAGAACAGTCTACCCCAGTGTTATAGTGGAACACACCTATTCTTTAGTTAATAGACTCTCCCACCTATAATAAGTAGGAGTAGTAATAGTAACAAGGGGTAGCAGTGGCTCAGTCAGTTGATGTCGGATACTAAAAGTATCAGCGACCACCACTAGATTTCTCTGTCATTACCTATTATATCAAGTTTCTAACGTTTTGTATGTCGAACCTATTTTAGGACCGACTTAGTGAAATACAAGCCTCCACTGTGAAACTACTCTTGATGACAAGGATTCAAACTCATACGGAGGAAAAAAACAAATTCATTCGCCATATACAACACCCAGCGAGCAAAATAAAGGGTTCAGTTCGACATTCCAACCACCTGAACAAGACTGCAGCATACAGCGGCCAAAACATTGTGATAAATATGGCAACAAAGATGATGACAGTAGTGTACATAATACCTCATCTCAGAAATATAGACAGATACAAAAAACATGATCACTACTTACAAAAATATATAAATGCAGTATTTTTTGACATTTTGAATATCTTTACTGGGCATGAAACACCTGTTAAATAATCTATGAACAAAGGTGTTGCTGTGACAATCACTAACAATAATCTGGCACCAACATAGGCTACATAGCTGGGCTGGGGAGCCCCCACCCAGGACAGATGAGGTCACTTGTAACAGCTGCACATCACCTAGGAACCTTCACAGTGCTTTTTGAAAGTGCTTTCCATTTGTGACCAGTCATGTTAGCACCTGAAAAACTTCTGGATTTTGGAGGTTTTCTGATTTTGGAATTTTGGATAAAAGATACTCAACCTGTATTATGAATAACATTCAAGACGAAAGTGTGATTTTAAAAAAAAGAAAGCGTCCTGGGTATGACAATAAAATACATCCGGCAGCAAGGCCTTTGATTGGGATGTTTTGAGGAACATGGAAACACCTCTTAATTGTTAGTGTTCCCAGGTCCACCTTAACCCAAAGTGGTAGAACTTGTTAGGATCTCATCTATGGGCAAATAGTTAACTCCCAAATTGGGGTCAAAACATGATGAAAGTATAAAAATAGATTTTTATCATAAAAATAACCACAATATATATATATTTTTTTTTTTTTAAATTACCGGAAATAAAACTGACACTTAACAAAAAACCTCTTTGCAAAAATATGTCAATGAAACTGATTTCTTACATAGAATATATATTCCATTCATACGAAGCTAACCAAAAAATCTTGTTGGTATTAAATAACCCACTGAGGTGTTGATATGCCCTGAAACAAAATAAACCAATAAAAAAAAAAAAAACAATAAGAAAAAGAAAAGACACAATGTTTGACAAAATCTCAACATTATTTCTGTCTTCAAGTTGTATTTAAAATATTTCTCTTAAGTACTAAAAAAGATTGGAAGAGTTCTGTTATGTCGGTCATTTTGTTTTATGATTATTATTATTAATTTATCGCTTTTAGTTTGTTTGATTTGTTATTATTTCTATTAGAAGTAAATATTGTTGTAAATATTGTCTTTTTACATAATGTTATATGATCTGTTTAAATCCAATATCCAGTGTAAAATGTATGTGTGTTTATTATGCATGTCTTTTTCTATGTGTATACCTCTGATGGTTGCTCTTTGATATGATAGAGAGGCTTTGATGGTCCAGTGACTCAGTGTGATACTGTCAGGAGTTCTAAACTCCTGGGAGATAACCCTCACACCCATAACGGGCACCAAGGTTGAAGATGAGGACCCATATTAAGCACGACCAACCTCAAAGTTGTTAACTGTAGAACAAGCGGATGACGATTACAATAGATCACAACGGTTGAAACGGCAGATGAAGAGGGATACACAACGGTCATGCTATAGGAGGCACCAATCAAAATTATAAGTCATTTTACTTTTTTAATTACAACCATTCTTCTCAAACATGGTTTCAGAGTCAAAGCATCATTACCATTAACCCAAAGTCTGTCAGCAGTACCTTGCAATACTTGTTCAACTTTAGTATTAACTGTTATCTTCCCCACATATCCCCATAAATTGTGTCTCTTGCTCTGTAGCCCTCCTGGGCCTTGTACAGGGCAAACATTATAACCAAAAAAAAATGTTAGAGACTTGTCATGTAACATTTCCGAGAAATTTTCTTAAAACATTTCAGTCAATTTACAACACTATTGTATTTATTTGCACTTTTTACATTGTTCAGACTATTGTCCTCATCTTTGTTGCCATATCCATAGTCCTCAACGACACATGTCTCAGTGGATAAAACTTTTGGTTGAATCCAGTGACTTGACCCATAGATTTGTGAGTTCAATAACTGGCTAAAGAGGTGAACAAAAACTAGGTGAGTTGAGTTAAAGGGAGACAACTGATACTGAGGCATGGCACGTGGAACTAAAACAATCTACCCCAGTGGACAAAATAAAGGGTACAGTTTGAAATTCCAATCACCTAAAGAAGACCAGAGTTTACAATGGCCAAAACATTGTGAATATAGCAACAAAGATGTGAACAACAGTCTGAACAATTAAGTAAATAATTGCAATACCTCATCTCAGAAATACAAACTATGTATTTTTTTTATTCTCAGTTATTTTTATTCCTCATAAGCATCTTAAATTATGTGATTTTTAGAAAAAAAATTAAAATTTTTATAGACTTTATTTTAAATGACTGTTTTAATTTGAGAAAATATAGAAAACCACTTTATAGGAGTTAAAAATAACTTTATAAATTTATATTTAATTTGATTTTTTTTTTTTTTTACATCAGTTTTTTTAATTTATTTTAAATTCATCAGTGTACACATTTTTTTTGTTAAATATCGTAAAAACATTTTTTATGAGAAAAAAACTCAATACACTGAAAATATTTGATAGAATCAGTGTTTTACTATTCAGAGTTTGTTATGACATGTGTCAAAATTGGTCTCGCCTGTTATTACCATACTTATAAAACTAGGAAGAGACAAGTCACGCCAACACACGTGAGCATTTTGCAGTACACTGCTGCTGCTTTTAATACGAAACTAGAGTATTACTGTCTTGAAAATTGTCGATAATAATTTAATGAATCTATCAGAAATTCTGTTTGAAAATATAATCTAGTACATTAATTTCTTTTTGAGTGGAACTGCTTCATACGAATCTGTGGATTGGATTCGTTTACTTTTTGGATCAACTTGCCGATATTTTGGATGGGTCTTCCCTGTGGGATGGATAAGGTCGATGAAGACGTGTTTCCCGAAACTTCAACCAACTTAGAAGAGTTTCTTAACGACCCTTTACTTTTGGAAACTGCATATACTCCATATAATCCATCTTATACCGTCTTTACAACAACTTTAACGACTTTTACTGACACCAATACGGCTGTTTCTTCTTCTCCTCTTCTTAGTACAACTTCCAGCACTGCCTCGGGCTCCGCTGAATGTGGTGTTGACGAAGTTCTGGAGTAAGCCACAAGTTTTTGTTTTGTTTTCTTTTGAGATCTATTTCGTATTTAATATTCTTCATAGAATTGTATATCTGTTTTAATAATGTTCTCCGGGCCTGTTCAGTCGACTAATAGGCTTTGTTGTTTATAAAGTTTTTGTTTGGAAAGTTTGTTTGTTTATGTCTAGAAAAAAATCAACTAAGTCAGTAAGTAAGTAAGTTAAGTATTCCTCGTAACATGGAATTACTACTTTTTTTTCTCATATTTTGCTTTTCCCTGTAAAAATTTTTTACTGAAATTGTCTATATACAAAAAAAGAAATGATTATAGTGCATTTCACTGATCGATTTATGCTTATTGACTGATAACGCAAGTGCGTTTAATTCTGTAGTACCAAAAAAAAAAGCCGATTATTTATTTATTTATTTATTTATTTTAGAGCTATTGTTGATCTAGCAATGCAGTTAAGGTTCTTCTGGCTTTATATATAATAAATTTAATCATTTGGCTTTCAATTAAAGCTAAAATGAAATCTTCAAGGATGCTTTTTCATTTTTAAAAATTCATTTTTAAACCTATAGGTATCGAAAATTGAGTGAAGGTATTTAAAAAAATTATACGATGTAGTTTTGTAGTAAGTATATCGACAACTGATAAATTTTATCGCTAAAAACTTTTTTAGATTTTTTTTTTTTAATCATTATGTCATCTCTTGTTTTGGGAAGCATCTTTTTAGTTTTTCAGCAAATGTATTTTTTTTTTTTTTAGCTAATTATATTCGAAAATCTTCGTGCAGCAAAGTTTTGTTGTTTTTATTTTTAAACCCTGTGACTTTTGTTCTTTTTGTTTTTCTTGTTTTTATAATTGTTTACGTGTTTCTTTTTTAAAAAACGGACGTTCTTTGCCAAAAAGTGCGCGATAAGTTATTCCTAAATTAGCTAATTTTGAATTGTTATTCTCTTAGTCTTCTGCTATGTAAATCAACTTAAAAATTAAAAAAAAATATCAACTTATATTTTGTTTTTCGACTTGTGATAGGTAACTCCACTAAGGTTTACTTTCTAAAACTTTTTTTTTTAAATGAAAAAGCATTTTTGAGACTTTTTTTTTATTTTTTAGCTTTTTAATTGATTTATTATTTTTATTAATTTTTTTTTTTTAACTCCTAAAATTATGAAAGTGATATTGCATAATAATTTTTGTTAAATGAAAAAATATAGTTATTTGTTTTAAAAGACGATAGGATAAATAATTGTAATGAAAAAATGTCATTTGTTTGTTTATGAGAATATAAGTTCTGTTATCAATGGTTGGTTTGTTGGAGATACAAGAAAGACTGGTTTCATAACATCTCTTCAAAAAGATGAAGGAATTGAAAAGGTAGAAGAGAATAGAGAATATAAAATTATTTTAGTTAGAGAATTAATTTGAGAATTAATTTAAAAAATTAAAAACCATTCCATCATCTGAAAATTCAACAGTCTAAAAATGAGATTAAGTAACTAATTTTCTTTAAGCGGCTAGCTACTCGAGTTTGTGTTATTAATGGTAACTAACTCAAGTCAACACGACTGTCTAATTATTTATTTTTGTTATGTTAATTAAGATAAAAATTAAATTTCTTTATTGCTTCAGTTTTCATTAATATTCTATTAAAAAATAACACCAGGGAGATAACAGTAAAGTAAAACTTAATGTCAATTTCTCTTTAGTTTTTTTGCATCTTTCGCACGAGGACTCGCACTGTTAAATTTCTCTTTCTTTTTTTTTTTTTTTTTTTTTTTCGTTTTTTTTTTTCTTTTTATATTTATTTTTCAGTTTTCAATTCTTGTCCGCTTTCTCTCTTTTGTCTTTTTTTTTTTTTTCTTTCGTTTTCTTCGCATAATCGTTTTGTTTTTGTTTTTCACCCTCTCTTTCGTTTTTTCTCTCAAAAGATTTTCCTGCCATATTCCGTTTTTTCTTGTTTTTTTTGGGGGGGTTTTTTCTACTTTTTTTTCCTACTTTTTTTTTCCTACTTTTTTTTTCCTACTTTTTTTTTTCCTACCGTTCTTTCATTTTCCTTATTTTTCTTTCTGTAGTTCTTGTTGCGCTGTCTCTCTCTTTTGCTTTTTCGCGAATTGCTCTCTTTCTTCGTTTCTTTCGATTTCTCTACTCGCTTCCTGTTTTCCCCCACGTTAGTCCCTACTTTTCTTTCCCATTTCACTCCTTCCTCAGTTTTTACTTTTTATTTTTTCGTTTTTGATACTCATTCTTTTCCTACCTTATTGCGCTATTTCCTAGTGTTTTTTCCGTGATTTCTCTTGTTCCTTTTTTTCTCGCTCTCTCCTACTTTTCGTTGCCTCTCTCGTCGTTTTCACCACGTGAACTTTCACTCTGTCATTCCCCCTCTCCATGCTCATTCTCATCTTTTCCCCCTCTCCATGCTCATTCTGTCATCTTTTCCCCCCCTCTCCATGCTCACTCTGTCATCCCCCCCCCCTCTCCATGCTCACTCTGTCATCTTTCCCCCCTCTCCATGCTCCTCTGTCATCTTTTTTCCCCATCTCCATGCTCACTCTGTCATCTTTTTCCCCCATCTCCATGCTCACTCTGTCATCTTTTTTCCCCTCCATCTCCATGCTCACTCTGTCATCTTTTTCCCCTCCATCTCCATGCACACTCTGTCATCTTTTCCCCCCCCTCCATGCACCTCTGTCATCTTTCCCCCCCCCCCTCTCCATGCACACTCTGTCATCTTTTCCCCCCCCTCTCCATGCTCACTCTGTCATCTTTCCCCCTTCTCCATGCTCACTCTGTCATCTTTCCCCACCGTCTCCATGCTCACTGTCATCTTCCTCCTCCCCATCTCCATGCTCACTCTGTCATCTTTCCCCTCCCCCTCTCCATGTGCTCTCACTTTCTATTCTTTTCCTTTACGCTAGCTCTCTCTCTCTCTCTCATATATAATTTTTCTTCTTTCATTAGTTTAAAAATCATTCCATCTTCTGAAAATTCACCAATATCTAAATGAGCTTAACTAAGTTTCTTTAAGCAGATAACTACCATTTCAGTTTCAAATGTTCATCGTACACAGAATAACTAGTCAAATCAACTGTATAATTATTTTCTTCTTAGCTCTTGTTTTTGTTATTTGTTTTTCTTTCTTTTTTTTTTTTCTTTTTTGCTGTGAACTTTTAAAAATTGCTTGCAAATACACTTATTGCATAAATTTCCATTAAAGTTTGATTAGAAATGATGACATGAGATAATCTGAGAAAACCTCTCAGAATCTCTTTACAATTTCTTTATTTTTCTCTCTTACACTCTCATCTTTTTCTTCTTTGTGCTCCCTCACTCTCATCTTTTTCCTTTCCTTACTCTTTCTCTCTCATCTGTTTTCTTTCCATACTTTCTCACTCACATCTTTTTCTTCTCTGTGCTCTTTATCTCTCTAGAAATGATGACACTAGTTAATTCAATAAAACTTTACCAAAAACATCTCAAAATCTCAATGCAATTTCTCCTCTTTTCTTTTTTTTTTTTTTTTTTTTTTTTTGCATCTCATGCACAAGGCTCTGCATGACTTGACTTTCTCTTCCTGATTCATTCTTTCTCTTTTTTAGTTTTAAATCCTTAATTACTCCCTTTCTTAAGTTCACTATCTCTCTTGCTCTATCACCTTGCCACTTTCTTACATTTTCTCTCACTCCTTACCCACTTTCTTATTTTTTCTATCTCTAATTACATTGCTTCTAACATTTTCTCCCTCTCTCTCCTTCTTGCCCACTCTCTCTCTCTGTCCTTCTTGCCCACTCTCTCTCTCTCTCTCCTTTTCAGTTGTCGCTTTATATGCCTCTCTCGTCTCTTTTCTCTCGTCTTTTCTCTCTCTCTTCTCTCTCTCCTCTCTCTCTTCTCTCTCTCTCTCTTCTCTTTTTTCTCTCTCTCTTCTCTCTCTCTTTTTTTCTCTCTCTCGTCTCTCTCTCTCTCTCGTCTCTCTCCTTGTTCTCTTTGCACACTTTCTCTACTCTCTCCACATTTTCACTTTTCCCTTTGCCCTCTTTTTTTTGTTTTCTATATATTCACTTCTTTTCTCTTTGCTATTTGCCACTTTTTCTTTCTAATCATTTATTCCTGTTGTCTCTTTATATTTCCTTTCCTCTCTTTGTAATCTCTTTGTAATCTCCCTCTCACTCATGCCTTCTCTTATCTCCATCTCTCTCTCTCTCTCTCTCTCTCTCTCTCTCCAGCTACCTATCTATCAGTATATATGCATTGTTGATATTTTTCATGTAATTATTTATTAACTATAGAAATCCTCATCTTTTGCAATAAACAGCCTAAATAAATTTTTATTTTCATTATGATTTCAGATCAAGCCGGAACGAGTCACAGCAGTTGAGTGTAGTTAATAATTTACCAAATCTTCTTCAGTCTAATAACGCAGAATGTTTGGAAAAAGTGGTCCCTCGTGTCCAGGTAATATCTGATATCCTATTTATATTCACTGAAAATAGTATAAAATATACTAACAAAGGTATTTTTTATTAAATTTCTTTGTTCTAAAACTTGTTTATAAATTTCAGTTTTTCATTTTGACTTCCTAATCAGACTGCTGTAATATTTAACAGTCTATTAACATTGCCTTTAACACAATAATGTCATTTCATTATTGACATTTAACAGCATTCTCTATTTGTACTTCAAATTAACATTGAGTAAAAAAAGTGTGTGAAATGTAAGTCATTAAGGTTGACTGAATTTCTTAAATAAAATATTCTTATTATTAATTTTTGACAAGGTTATCTTTCATCTTAATTATTATTTTGTTTTGCTATACTCAAGTCATTTTACATTCAATACTTGTTAATTAAGAGTATTTATGAGAAACTTTTGAACTTTTACCATGCCTATTTAGAAACTCAACTGGAAGGTCTTTTCAGAACTTTTTTTTTTTTTTATTTCTAATCAATGCTATTTGCTTAGCTGTTGTAAATTATAAAATAAACTAAATGTTCTGATAAAAACTAAGAACAATGTAAAATAATCAAAAATTTAATAATTTACAGTGTCATAAGTTTCTTACTCTCCTTTATTTTTATTATTATTATTATTATTATTTCCTTTGATTTCTGGCATTTACACATTTCTTTCCGTGTCCCGCCCAGGAACCTAAGGTTAGAAATGGCATCAAGACACTTTCCACTGACAAAAAAAAAAAATTACATAAATAAACCCCTTCATTATTTTTATTATTATTATTTTTTTTTATTATTTTTTTATTATTATTATTTTTTTTTTTTTTTTTTTTTGCATGTCAGTATCATTAGTTACAATGGCTGAAACATTCCGATAACAAATTGTGTCTTCCAGTCTTCTTCAGGTAACCTACAGGGAACTTTGAACTGAACCCATTATTTAATCTATGGGTTTAGATCATCCCATATCTATGGCTACCTTGTCTAGTTTTTATTTAGTAGTTATTTTTATTACTTACCCCATTTAAACTGAGTTCAAGTACATCCTACCTGTCCCAGGGATTGAACACACAATTATGTTACCAACACTTTAATCCAGTAGTCCACTAGTAATCCACTAATTAATCCACTAGTCTATTGATGATTCTCTGTGGAGAATGGAGCTTTAAATTTAATCTGCCTGCTGACTAGTGTAGCTGTATTTTTATATCATTCTAATGTTTTCTGTTATCTGCTATTTAATAGAAAAATCAAAATATTCAGAAAATATAATCCAGTCTGAATTGCATTTCTAAAATATAATGTGTAAGAATTTAGATGTATAAACTTTCCAAAAACTTTAGCATGTACTAGTATAAGTTATTAAATGCCAACTTGGCTTACTATGATATATTTTTGTGTTCTACCATTTTGGTGAATAATTGAATATGAATAAATTGGAATGCAGTTTTTAAAAAAAATCTTGTAAATAAAATAACACTTTTGCTTTTATTTTTCATTACATTCATCCAAAAGAGTACTGTAAGGTTCTTTTCTCAAAATTTGACCAAATTATAAAAAAAAAACTAATTTTTTTTAGAATGACCCTCTAGAAGGTATTTCAAAAGTGCCCAGTTTTGTTTTTAGTAAGAATAAGATTCTTCTTTCATTCATTGCTAGACAAACTTTGTGTCTACAATTAACATTATGGGATTTAATTTTTGTGAGCAATCACAGGGATAGACTACCCTCATAGCCGTTAGGCACATGGCCAGAATAATGCCAATGTGATTTTGTAACCTGCTGGTTTCTTGATTACACAATCACTTCTGGTCACAGTCCTGTTAGAATCTCCTAGTTCCACCAGATCTGACCTTCACGACTAGGACCCACCATGATGTTTGTTAAACCACCCTTATTCCCTTCGTGTTCCATCGGTCCTGTTTGTAGCTATCTATCTATCTATGGCGTCCTGTTTGTAGCTATCTATCTATCTATGGCGTCCTGTTTGTAGCTATCTATCTATCTATCTATCTATGGCGTCCTGTTTTGCCATCTATCTATCTATCTATCTATGGCGTCCTGTTTGTAGCTATCTATCTATCTATCTATGGCGTCCTGTTTGTAGCTATCTATCTATCTATCTATGGCGTCCTGTTTGTAGCTATCTATCTATCTATCTATGGCGTCCTGTTTGTAGCTATCTATCTATCTATCTATGGCGTCCTGTTTGTATCTATCTATCTATCTATCTATGGCGTCCTGTTTGTAGCTATCTATCTATCTATCTATCTATGGCGTCCTGTTTGTAGCTATCTATCTATCTATCTATCTATGGCGTCCTGTTTGTAGCTATCTATCTATCTATCTATGGCGTCCTGTTTGTAGCTATCTATCTATCTATCTATCTATGGCGTCCTGTTTGTAGCTATCTATCTATCTATCTATGGCGTCCTGTTTGTAGCTATCTATCTATCTATCTATCTATGGCGTCCTGTTTGTAGCTATCTATCTTGAACAGCTTCTTCCCGTGAACCACTGCTCTGTGGTACCAACTCCAAAGAGGATGTTTCCCCGATCACTGCAATTGTAATCTGTTCAAGTCTAGAATCAGCCATTATCTTCACCTCCTATCCATATCAAAGTAGCCCTTAATGTAACCCTCGACCTCGTGGCCCCGGGCCATGTACAGGATGAACCTTATTATAAAAGAAAAAACAAAAACAAAAAAATCTCATCATGGCTTATCTGTCAGTGGTAACTCAGCTATGATGTACTATTTCTGGCTGCGTTCCCAGGGTGTTGGTTTTCTTCAGGTTTGGATAGTTGATGTGCTTTTAGTTCATTCCATATTTATTTCCAGAGCTGGCATTTCCACAATGTACATTCTCGGCTGATGTCCTTTTCTTTTGCACGACTCACAGAGACTCCATGCTAGCATATTTAACTTGCAGATTTATGGGGATACCAACCTATGGGCCTTAACCTGGCTCTGTTTGCAACCTCTCATGTGTGGTTGTCAACTGGAAAATAATTAATCATCCTCAAGTTCACAGATTTATAAGAGCCCTTACAGTCTTAATACAGTCATGCCCAAAAAGAATTAATCAAATAAGTTTTATTTATTTACATTTGGTTTAATGTCCTCAACTTTATTGCTATCATAATGTTTTTGTTGTTGCGTCCTCTGTACTTCTTTAGATGGAATAGGCAAAAAGCAAACATTATGGACCTCAGGTTTTAAAATGAATTTTTAAAAATGAAAAATCTTTCTTGAAGCTTTTATTTTAGTTTAGAGCAAAAAACAAATTTTTCTTAAGGCAATAGTGTCCTTAATATATCTTATTTATAAAAGCAATTAAAAGCTTTTCTAATTAAATGATGTCATAGTTTTATTGCATTTTTTATTTTACAATTTAAAGCAGATTTTCAGTCAATACATTTTACTGAAAAATCGTAATGTGAATACTTATTTAATTTTGTATTATATCTTTAATCCAAATTCTTATATATGTATCAAAAGTGTAAATTCTTAAAAACTATTACTTTTAAAAAATCTAGGAGATGTTAACTGTTGCCGAACCAGATATACAAGTTGCAGCTTCAACAGCATTCCTCCAGATATTGCAAAAGGAACTTGTACCTGTGCAAAGCTACCCTCAAATGTTTTTACAGACTATCCTTAATAGTATTGACAATAAAGATCCTGGTAAGATCTCTTTTTTTTCTTCTTTTTTTTTCTTGTTTCTTAAAAATGTCCTTTCAAATTTTTTTAAAAAATATAACAAAAAAAGGAAAAGTTAGTAATTGTCATATAACTTTTTTTCTATAGATATTTCTAATGCCTGGCTTGGAACTTTGCTTGATGTTATTGATCTTTTACCAAAGGATGTCATCAAAAAAGAAGTAAGAATTTTCACTAATTAAAGCATTTTTGTTTTGTTTTTAACGACCATGTGTATGTGTTGTTTGGAGTGATCATACCACTGCAGGTACCAAAAAGTACTTAACACTCCTTTTTAGTATTGACAATAGTAACCAATAACAAGTAATTGATACATTAGAAGTGATTAAAACCACTAGTACAATAAACTAAATACACCAACCCAATTTGCATTGGCTATTAGCCTAGTTATCTTTTAAAATTTGGTCATTTTTCAAGAAGATTCAAAAGATTGAATAAATTGTAATATCCAATTTATTTACATTGGACATTAGCTAAAATTGAAAAAAGAAAAAAACATTTTTTTTCCTTGAAATACTTTCATGTACCATGGACAGACCACATACAAACCCACCATAGTCTGAATGCATCACATAGACAGTAATTTGCCCAATACTGAATTATAAAAACCTAAAATATTGTCTTTACTCTAAGCATAACAATAATTTGTGTTTGCTTATAAAAATAAATTCTTGAAAACAAAAAGGGAGAAAGAATTTTGTAAGTCAAAATTTTCCTATTAATGCCATTTATTAAACAAAAAAATATTAGATTGTTTTTTTTTTTTTTTTTAAAAAAAAATGTAAAAATAGAAACATCTTCAATTGTCAATGACATTTTTTTCTGTTCGTCTGAAAAATAATGCATAAAGCTTGTCTTTTTGATTTTTGTTTTTGTATTCAATAGCTGTTGACAAATAGCTTTACAAGATATTTTCTTCAATTTTAGTTTTTTGTTTTCTATTTTTATAATAGATATTTTTGTGACATGATGTACTTAATGTTAGTTGTTTGTATGTAATTTTGTTTTAGGTAAAACTATGACAAAATGGGAAGTTTTGTGTGACGTATTTTGTCCTTTAGGACTTCATCAGACTAATGTGATGTTTATGTTGATGTGACTACATATGCACATGAAGGAGAGGGGGTGCTGATAATTTTAAATTTTAAAAAAATGTAAATTACAAACAAAATTTTCATCTAAAATTCTCATCATCCCCTCTTTTTCATATACATATGTAGTCTCATCAACATAAACATCATTTTAGTCCAATGAAGTGCTAAAGGACAAAAATGCATCACATGAAATTTTTTTTCCAATTAGTCATAATTTTCCTTAATATTGTTCTTGATAATATAAAAAAATTCTCACATATAGTTTTCTCATACTATTTCATATTTATGATATCCTAATGATTTTTACCCTCTGGCTTATTTATGTTTCATGAGTGTACTTTTTTTTTTAATCCCAGATATTGACAGCTGCAGTTGCCAAAGGACAATTGTCCCAGTCTGTACCAGCCAGACTTTCATGTTGTCAAATTTTAGGGAAAATTGCAACAAAATTTGATCCTTTTGTGTAAGTTAATATTTTTAATATTTTATGTTATTTTATTTTATAATATTGGTAGATAGTTAAAAAATTTTTTTTTTTTTTTTTTTTTTGAGTTATTTAAAGCCAAAACATTACTTTAGGATTGTAAGAATAATTCTCTTTTTTCTTTTGCCTCTCTCTCTCTCTCTCTCTCTCGTTTCCTGTTTAGGAATGGGTTTCTAGTCCATTCTAAAGTTTTCTCTTTCACTACTGATAGATCCTTGTGTCTTCATAACATTATCAACTTGCTTGAGTGAATTGATTTTTAAAAAAAAAAAAAAAAAAAGTAGATATTATCCTAAAGATATATATTTTCTTGAAATAAATCTACTCACCTACTGAGATATGCTTTTAATAAATAAAATATACACACACACACACACATACAAAATTTAAGCATGTCTTTCTCTCTCTCTCTCTCTCTCTCTCTCTCTCTCTCTCTCTCTCTCTCAATGAATATAACATTAACAACTTTTGGAGATCTTTCCAGTTACAATTTCTACTATTCAACCCACAAAATAGTAGTAGGCAGTTGTGTATGAATGACTAATAACAAACCTGTCTGGAATACCAAAATTGTCCAATATACAGTTAAAGGATACTTATATTTAAGCATAAGCTGGCATTAATATGGGAGTAAATTTAAAGAAAAAAAAAAGTACTAACAATTTTCACTGATAGAGAACAAATGCATATGTCACTTTTTGGCATAGTTGTCTTACAAGGCAATGCATTTCTGTTATTGTTTAATGAACTTCTATATCGCTTCCAAAAAGAAGTTTTACAGTTAGTAATGAATTTTTGTTTACACTGCTTGCTTTGTTAGCCACCCAATGTGCACAAAGTTTGATATCCCAACTCATTATGCATTATGGCTTGTGTAGATCCATAGTTGATGTCAATATTTGCCAACAGCTGTGCTAAAGTGATTCATTGGTCTTCCCTGATCAATGCATCTGCCCTCTGGATCTATTATTCAGACACTATAGCAGTCATGTTAGTTTGTTCTATTATTTGTTAATTATGCTGTTCATGGTATTGTATTTGTTTCACTTTTATTTTTAAAATATCTGACAGGTTATCAATCCAGGATATGTGATAGCTCAGTTGATGGGGCAGATGACTTTACTAATAATCAGCTGATATTTTTATGTTGTTCCAGAACAGAATTGTTTGACAAGGTTAAAAGAATTTGTATTTTTTTAATACATTGGGCTAATACTGAAACTGTTCATTATTCTGATGAAATACCAGCCCTTCATGATCAATTGTAAATTAACAAACTCTTGATTGAACACAGATTGTATATCTGCAATTATTACAGACAATCAAGCTTGATTAATCCAATACATGGTTTAATACTTGGTATATATTTGGTACTAGTTGTTACAAGTATTTATTTGATACATGTAAAGATCTTCAAAGCTTAAAAAAAAGCATGTTTTATTTTTACTCATGTGAAGCTAAAGAGATTAGATTGAAATATCAGATTTCAAAAATTTTATTTTCACTGTAATGGACTTTAAATTTATTGTGGCCACCAGTTTAATACTTTGTAGATGTTTAGTATCAGTAGGTACAAGGACTAATTTGCACCACCATAGATATTCATGCCTGAAAAAACTGTTAGACATTTGATTACACAAAATTATTTTGGAGAAGACAATTTTTAAATTCTCCTGAAAATATATTTTTCAATACAGTGCTTTCACTGGATGATATTTTTTATTGTTGCTTACAGTAAGACAAAAGAATGATGTGGTTTTTGGTTACAAAATTTATTAATAGTTATAAAGGACAGGAGATTGTAGAGAGCCATGATCTTGAAGGGACATAGCTTATAGAAGTAGTACTCTCTTTGGGAAAAAATGCCTTATCGTTACAGCAGAGTGGAACCAATTTTATCTTATGTTGTTAATGACTTTGTCTACAAACGATAGTGTTATGTCCACATTCACAAAAATACAGTAGTAAATACTGTATGTTGGTCTACAGTTGGAGATTCATTATGGAATTCACTTGACTCACTTCTAGAAGTTGACTACTTCTACATGCCGCTGGCAAATCTTATATGTATTGTTCTTGTCCTAAGTATTATCATTCATTACTAACCTTCATGTGATCATTCTATTCAGTAACCTTCCCTAGGTTACAACACTTTGATATTTTTTGTTTTTTTTTAAATTTTGTAAAGAAAATGCATGTTTCTCTTCCCTTTCAAATTATTTTGGAGAACATGTATGAAAAAATAGGCACACTGTAAATAAAAAGAAACAAGTATATTGAATCAATAGTACAGAATGCGATATGTAAATTGTTGCCATTTTATATTTTTAATTTCATGCATCTGCATTGTTTGTTTTTGATTTTGTTGACAACATAGTTTGGATACTGTTTGTAAGAAAAACAGCACCATGACATAATTCATACTGCCAGAAATTTGGAAACAGCATGCTGTACTGCTTAGCATTAGATGTAATGGAATAACCTGGCACCCTCATGAGTGACTACACTATAGGTAGTAACTACCTATAAGTATCTGTAAGTCAACGGACTACAGAGTCTAGCTGCGATCTGTTCCAGCTAAACAGTCAAACTCTCAGCCTTTGGGCAGAAAGGAACCCGGATGAGGCTCCATTGAAGGGCAGTCTCATTCAGGGAGGTAGACTGACCCTAAACCCATATGCGGGTTCAAAAAGGGAATATTTTTGGTTGAGCCTATGGGCTCGGAGGACCCACATTAAACCAGCCTTGTGCCACATGCAATCCTTGTGTGGGGGTAGCTAAATATACTAGCTGGGATCTGTTGAGTGCGACTCAGACTTACGTGAGAACTACTGACCTTCCAATTGTAGCACTCACTGCTGGATTGACTCGTGATGACCTTGTGCATAACTGTTACCTTTATTCTTATTCTACTGGTTTTTTACAATAAGTCTTATTTTATCAACATTGTTTTTTTTAAGTATATATTCCTATCAGCACGGAATATAACAGCATTCATGCGAGAAGCTTCAATAAAAACAATTCAGGTTGTTTGAGTATCAATCTGAGGATAGTGCAGAGGATTCAAAAAGAGTTGGATGAGTCTAATGGTGATCATGAAGGTATGACAGCTCAGAAAACTCACTCGGATCATTCTGATAAGAAAAGAACTCTCAAATTTGTTGGTGAGGGCCTCAGACTAAACATGGAGGCCTACATTAAGTGCCTTGAGAAGTTTGTGCTGTCCTGGGTCAAGAGAGTGGCTGCTGGAAAACTGTCTGTTAACGGGACTCTGCACCATGCCACACAAGCATGAGAATGCAGTCATGACTGTCAGACAATATCTGTAACCACATCACTCCTTACATCTGGCCACCTAACTCCTCAGACTACAACCCCCTTGATTATTATGTGTGGGGTGCAGTTGAGTGAGAGACCAACAAAACTTTTTGTAACACCAAAGATGAACTTAAGGCAAGGATTATGGCAGCATTCACCAATTTAAACAAGGAGACCGTTCAGAAGAGTTGCAGGAGATTCTGAAGTCATCTGGAGTCTGTAATCAAAGCCTGTAGCAATTTTATTGAATAAATTTACTCTTTAGTATTTCAAGATATTTTTGTGTCATTTTGATAAATATATCTGTTAAAATGAGATGTTAGTGTTATTTTAATTTTTGCATCATTAGGACAATTTATCCATCGCACCCTGTATATTTATAATTTCCTTCAGCTTCAGTTTTAACATATAATCTGAACAAAATCTATACAAACAGATTTGTTCAAAATATTATTGGTAAATATTTAACTTTCAATGCAAGTCATTAATATCTTGTTTCAAAGATTTTCTTCAAATTTTACATGAAATATAACTCACTGAAAATTTCAAATCCATTTCATATTTTGTTATTTTCATTATTTCAGAATCAAAAAAGAAATTTTACCTGTTGTACAATCACTGTGTCAAGATGTTGATTATGAGGTTCGAGGGTGCATGTGCAAGCAGTTAAACCCTGTAGCCAGAGGATTAGGGTATGATTGTGACAATAATTATCTTTTTTTTTTTTCTTTTTTTTTTTTTATATTTGTGCACATAGTTTTTTTTGTTGTTTGTAACGTTGATTGCTATCTGCAGAAGACAAGTCTGTCCTGGGTAAGACGATAAACTATGTCCAGCAGCAAGGCCTCTGATCAGGAGGCTTTGAGGTGCATGGAACCATTTAATTGTTGGTGTTCCCAGGTTCGCCTTGGCCCAGGGTGGTAGCACCTGTTAGGGTCACAGCTATGGGCAGATAGTTGACTCCCAAACTGGGGTCAAAACACTATGAAAATATAAAAATAGATTTTAATACCAGAAATACATTGCAAAAAATTATTATCAGAAATTCATTTTTGAAGGAAAATATTATCAGTAATAAAAATTGTCGGCATTAATTCATTGTGGTTGATATGCCATAAAACAAGCCAAACCAAGAAGACAAGTATTACTAAGCAATAACGAAATACTATACATGCAGAAGTATGTGTACAGTAATGAAAAACAAAACATACATACAAAACACCGTGTTTTTGATTTCTGAGGGCTTTGGTGAATACCTGGGCAATTTGCATTGCATTCTCTAGTATTTGTCACGTAACAGTAAATCGTGGACCTCATTGGTGGAGATGTTGTAAATGTTTCCTGACTGTTTTTTCACAAGTTCACTAAAAGTCATTTGCACTAAATTTTGTCATTAAATTACTAGACATTGTTAAATTACCACTTTATCTGCAAAACATTTATTATAATTATTATTATTTATTAAACAATTAAAAATATAATAACTGTATTATAATAAAAATTATCAAAATAATTTTTTTTTTCTTCAGCAAGCCTTAGTATGAAATAGTACTTTAGTTATGAAAATCAACTAGTACAATAGCTGTTGTACCAAATCATGAAATAAAAGGGGATGCAAATTCCAGTCTCACTGAAGAGTTTAATTTTTCAAATTTCAAGTAAAATTGTTTATTAAGAACCGCATAGTGTTGGTCTGAGTAAATGTGATAAAAAATATTTGGAATTAAGAATCACTTGTTTAAACAGTAAAAATTAAAAAAGCATCTTCTAAGTTCAATATTATTACAAATATTATTTATTAATCAGTTTGAAACGTTATTTATTAAAAATGTATTTTTCCATGATACAGGTTTGCATAATGCATTAAATCAATACCACTTATTCAAACTTAATAAATTAGCTTGGCAATATCTCTGCATTTACATTCAAACTAATTTTTGCTATTATCATAGTGTTTCGATTATTATGCCCCCCAGCCTTCTTCAGGGAATTTCAGATTGAAATTTTATTTAATCTACAGGGTGGTCTGAAAGTCTTTTCACCCCTACATAATATAATTTTCTATTTCAGATGGATGACACAAGCTTCTACTGTTTGAAAGAGAGGTAGGAGTGACAAGACTTTCGGGCCATTCTGTACAGAGAAAGTTTGTTACCATTCCACTGTCCATGTGTTTTTACTTAGTACTGATCAATAGTTGCTCACACTCTGTCCACTTAATCTAAATCTGTATTACTTGACCCAAGGATTAAACTCACATTAAACTAAGGATTTACCATGCCAAAAAATTCTCAAATTTAAACAATTGTTTTGAGAATCTTTTGAGAATCCAGTAAATTATTGACCTACGGGACAATCCTGAATGTAGAATTTGCAGCCTTAAACACTAATGAATATTAGGGTTTAATGTTTACAAGAAAAACACTAAAATTGGCAATTAACTATATTTTGGCTAGTTATAATTGCTTTTTGAATATATATAAACACTCACAGATATACTTATCAGATTTATAATTGTTTGACATTGATAAATATGGTAGAATATTAATTTGTTTGATTTATTTTGCAGGCTTGAGGCCACAAAAAGTGCTATCCTTCCAGAGCTGGTTGAGTTAACAAATGATGAAGAAATTTACGTCCGTATGATGGGTTTGGAAACAGTAGTAAACATATTAAGCCTTTTAGATGATGGTGAGTAGATACTAGAAATATTTAGTTATTCAGCAAACATGGACCTTCATGCCAAGAATAAGACAGAGAATATTCAAAAGGATGGTTCTTCCAATAACACCATTTTTATTTTAACTATTGCCTCACCTTGGCAATGTTTATTGTTTTAAAGAACAATTATTAAAATTGTAATAAAATCTAAACATAAGATGAATGTGAGTTTATGCAGTTTTTTTTTTTTTTTTTTTAAATTTACAACAAAAATATTAAACACAATTAGATTGTTTATTTACAAAAAATTTTAAAAACTAATAGAATTAAAACGAATGCAATGAAATATTTATCATTTACCAACTTATAAAAAAATAAATATGAAAAAAAAATTTATTTATAAACATTTACTAAATTATTAAAATATGTGACCCAACTTTAAAGAAATCCTTATTTATTATTTTTTAAAGTTTGAATCATTTGGTAATTAGCCGATGTTTTGCCAACCATTCCAATAAATATAATAAATAGTGTAAATAAACAATCTAATAAATAGTATTTATTATTTTTGTTGTCAATTTTCAAGAACAATGAAAATGTATAAATTCACGTTCATGTGTTTGTTTTATTCAAATTCTAATCATCACTTTTTAAAACAAGACATTGCCAAAGAGTGAAGGTAATTAAAGAAGGAATGTCATAGGAAAAAACAACCCTTTTGACACTTGGTCTTATTGCAAGTATGAAGGTTCATATTTGCCAGTTATTCAATGATTTCATCATTTTTATGTGAGAGTTCAAGATTAATATCATTCTATCATCGCAGGAATGATAGAAAATTAGATTGGGATGATGGGTTAAGTGTTTTGTGACAAAACAATATTTTTAATTATGCATCCATTGTTTATTTAAAAAAATCTTTTTGTAGCATAAAAAGAAAAGTCTGTTTTCATACACAGATATAAATGATATGTGTATATTTTCAATATAAATAAAATCTAAGTAATATCTTTGTGGGAGTTAGAGGTTGGTTTGACATTGTTTCAATGTTGTGAACTTGAACACCCTTCTGAACTGATAAATTTGATTGGAGTAAATAGGATTGCTTATTGCCCAGTTCACACTCCTCCCTGGTCTTTTGAACAGGAGTAAAGTTTTATCCTTTCTTTCTGTATTGGGTTTCCAGTTTCTTCTAAAGTATTCACTTTTACTGCCAGTAGACACTTGTGTCTTAGTGGCATTATCGTCTTCCTTGGGGGTGAATTGATTTAAAAAGAAAAAAATAGCTAGCTAGATGCAATCATCAGATCTATTTTAATAGTTTCTTTTCTCACACTTCTTGCCTGTGGAACTCCATTCCAATTTCTTGCTTCCATGCCAACTACAATCTTCAAATATTTAAATGCAATGTCAATTGCTATGTTTTTGGCTTCTTAAATCCTGTTCCTTCATTTGTCCTTTTTCTCATTAAAGTCAATTTATTTTATTTTTTCTCAATAGATGTAGATAGGTTTGCCTATTGTCCGGTTCACATTCCTACTAAGTCTTTTGAACAGGAATAGCATTTTATCTCTTGTTTTCTGTTTAAGATTGGGTTTGCAGTTCATTCTAAAGTTTTTTCTTTTTCACTACCAATAAATAGACCCTTGTGTCTTCGTGACATTATCAACTTGCTTGGGTGAATTGATTAAATTAAAATAAATAAAAAATAAAAAAAGTTATTTATTCTAAAAGATATATTTTAAAATAAAATAAAATTCTACTCACCAACAGGGGTGTGCTTTTAATAAATGAAGCACGCACACACACACACACACAATTTAAGCATGTTTTTTAAAAATGGCGAATTAAAAATGAAGGTTGAAGGACTTAAATTTAAATATTTGTATTGTTTATTTCTATTTTCGTAAGAATTAATTTTGCTTTAATGAACAAAGCGAGAAAAATGTTTTTTCTGTCAATTTTTTTACTAAAAAAAGATTTGAACCATTTACAAACAAGATTTATATATTTTCTGCTTATCATGAACCACATTGAAAGGCTCAATTTACTCCTGCAAATCTCTATTCTTGATCATCCTACTTCCCAATATGAGCCAGGAAAAGCAAAGTGACCAGGTGGTGGGGCATAGAGACCACAATTTAAAGATTGAATGGATAAAAATAAATATTTATTTCCTAAATATTCTAATATTTTTTATTAACAGATAACGACATCTATCAGATAGATGAAATTTAAATTTTTATTATTGCACTATTCCAAAATTTTAATGCATCAGCAGATAGCTATTAATGTCAATAACTGAGCACAAATCGTTATTAATTAAAAAAATTAGTAATTAATGTATATTATTCATGACTACAGGTAAAAGGAATGTCATTTTTGATAAAAGTTAAAAAATAACCATAAATACATAAATAAATGCCTATATTGTTGAAAATTCCTTTTTCCACGATATAGCTGTTTGTACTGTTATAATGCTTATTATCTAAATAATAATACTGAATAAAAATTTTTTAAACATTAAAGTATATTTAATCAAATCTCCCTAATAGCTGTCATGATCTGTAAATAAAATCTATTTTTAAAAATCTGTTTTACTATGGTGCTAACAAATATAAATGGTAAAAAACATTTTGGTTTTGGAATTTGGGGGGGGGACAATTGAAGTTCTTCAGAACAATGCTGGGATTAAGGTGAAAAAAGTTCATTGATGGGCCTGATTATATATGTATCATAAGACATATGAATATATAAGACCTGATTATATATGTATCATAAGGCATATGAATATATAAGACCTGATTATATATGTATCATAATCATTGATTTTGTAACCCAATATCACACTGTAATGTAATTGTTACCCAATTTTTTTATTTTTCCAGATACTTGTTCAAATACAATCATTCCACTTGTAATTAGGTTCTATGAACAATGTCTTTCTTCAAAGGATCATACTTTGCCTATAATTGCTAAACATATTGGCAGTTTATGCCATGGACTCTCAGGTAAATAATTGCTTTCATTATTTTTATTTTCTGGTTATAGCAAATGGCTTAGAACTATCTTCACTATTGTTAATTTTATGGAACAAGTAAAGTTTTTTTTTTTTTTTTTTTTTTAGTAATCCTATCGCCATAATGTTGCCTCTCTGTGTCTTTTCTATAAATACTTTCATGGTAATTGTTTGGATGAGCTCTTTGCTATGGTAACTAGACTTTTTGAATTTAAGCACAGTATTAGACTAACAATTCAAATTCCAGTTGGATCCATTACATTCACTTACATGCAAATGCCCTTGGGAAAGATATAAACTCTCTTCTTCTCCCTCCCCCCAGCTATGAGTAGATAGCAGGACAGACTGGGTTCTATAGCCTTGGATAGCAACTGGTCTACTGCAGAAAGAAATGCGAGAAAAAAAATCTACTTTGTCAGTCATGTATCAAAAGATACATGCACGCCTAAGCATGTATCACATATGCCACATAACTGACTGACATCAGTCAAGGGAGGTAAGCAATGTTGCCATTTTCTGTTATCTTTTATTTATAAATAATATTCCTAAATAGCGACTTGAATTGAGGTATCGGAGAGCCGTGTTCAAATTCCAGTCAAATCCATTACATTCACTTATGTACTAATACCCTTGGGAAAGGTATGAATTCTATTCTTCTCCCTCCAGGTATGGGTAATTAGCTGGACAGACCGGGTTCTATAGCCTTGTATGGCAAGTGGTCTACTGCAGAAAGAAATGGAAACCTACTGCGGCGAAAAAATCTACCTCGTCAATCATGTATCAAAAGTTACATGATCACCTAGGCATTTAGGCATGGCACATAACTGACCAAGTAGACTGGCATTGAGATCTCATCAATTTAGAGGAGCTGGCTAGATGTAGCCATAAAGTCTAAAGATATACATGTATAAATTCTTAAAAGATATACATATGTAACAATTTTTTACACAAACTGTCTTTCTTAAAATACACTTCTCTCAAAAGATTGTGTACAAAGAAAAACAACCTAGAGAATTAAACATTTATTACACCAACAGTAATAAAAAAAATATTTTTTTTATAAGATTGCTACTGAAACAATAATAAAAACCTACATATATAGCATCATATTGATGGCAGGCACAAAAAGAAAACTGCAACAACTTAAACAAGAAAAGCAAGAAGAAAAGAATAATCATCAATTGTAAGACAGAATGTATGATTGTCAGCAGAACAGCCCAAGAATTAAGATACAAATTGGAGATGTTAAAATCAAACAAATATAGAATTTTAATTAGCTGAAAAGTATTTACATTATTTGCATTGTTTGGACTTTTCATCTTTATAGTCATATTCACAACACTCCAGCCTTCTTCAGGTGATTGGAATTTTGAAATAAACCCTTTATTTCGTCCACTGGGAAAGATTGTTCTAGTTCCATATGTCATGCCTCTTCCGGTTGTATCAGTTATCTCCCTTTAACTCAACTCTCCAAGTTTTTGTTCACTGCAGTAGCCAGGTATTGAACTCACAACTCTTTGAGTCAAGTTACTGGATCCAACCAACACTTTTATCCACTGCGCCATGTGTCCTACCACTGTAGATGAAATAAAGGGTTCACATTGAAATTCCAATCACTTGAAGAAGGTTGGAGTGTGCAACTGCCAAAATGTTGTGAACATGACAATAAAGATGAGGACAACAGTCCAAACATTACCTCATCTCAGAAATATAGACAGATAATAGCTGAGAAGTGTTTTAATAAATGATAGAAAAAAATGACACTAAAATCTGAAGATGCATTGGAATAGCAAAAGATGTCTTCCAAAAGCTAAGCAAAGTATTAAGAAATAGAAAAATATCCTTAGAAACAAAGAAGAGTGTTGAACTACTATGTAATATCAGTTACCCTAGATAATATTGAACACTGGATAGTTTCTTCACAGATGAAGAGAACACTTGAGGCAGCAAAGATGTGATTTATGGAAGAATGCTGAGAATATCTTTGATGGAACATATGAAAAACACGGAAGTTTTAAAAAGAATATTAACAAAAAGGATACTTAAAATCAGAAAGAGTTGAAATTTTGGGGACACATAATGAGGAAAGAAAGCTGGGAGAATTTGACACTCACAGAACATATTAAAAATAAAGGAAGCATCAGTAAACTGAATAAGCTACCTAGCTTGTGTATGAATGGATGGCAGAACATGTGGGTGGGATATTAATAAGAGATATTACTAACAGCTCCAAAAGATAGGAAATTGTGGAGAGCCATGATAGGCCATATTGTGAAAAGACAGCACATAAGAGAAAAAATTTCCATACCAGGAGATATAAAATTATTATTACATTAAGTAAATACAGAGTAGTAGTACTTGGTAAAATCTTAGCAGACTATTTTAAGGGTAGAAATAAAAGGGTGATAACTCTAATAGTAGAAAATGCTTTAAACAGAAGTGAAGAATAAAATGTTTAATATTTTAATGATAAAAAATATAAGGGAGGTAACTCTAATAATAGAAAATGCTAAAAACAACTGAAAAGAAAAATGTTTAATATTTTAATAGTAAAATATAAGGGAAGTAACTGTAACTATACATACTTTTTTTCTATCTATAATAGTTTCCAATTACAGTATATACTAGTATAATTTGCAATCTCGCGTTTTGTGCGACCTCCAATTTTTCACTTTGTACACGAGATAATTGATTTTATCATGTATATCGTGTATCATGCGAGTTCCTTTTTTGAGAGACCAAATTACAATAGACTAACCTCTTTTCCTCTATCTCTTTATCCAATCTTCTAGTTAACTAAGTTTAAAAAGTAAGAGAATGAATAAGCAACTGAACAAGAAAGTTAAATATCCTATAAACAATAGAAAAGATGCATATTCGCTATGTTTGTATTTTATAATACATACTAATATTTTGAATATTATATGTATTATTATTGGATACAGTTAAAGAAAAACATCAGTTTTATCAAAATTGTGTTTATTTTAAATACAGCTGTACTTTTTGATTATAGTAAATGGATATATAATTTGGTCAACAGCATGGACAGGGCCAACAGTACATACACTAATTTTATATCTCGTGTATAATGCAACCCTCTTAAAATTAGCTTCAAATTTAGATCTTCAAAAGTTACATGATACACATATATATATAGTAAATATGTCTAAATCATATATCATCCAAAATAGTAAACCAAATGAAGAATTGACTATAGATTTAGGTACATTAGCCAATGAATGTTTGATTGCTCGTGAAATTTTGATTTTGTTTCTTGTGCAACTATAATATATAAAATGATACTTTTCATATATATATATATTTTAAAATAACCAGTATAAAGTTAACAAACTATATAATTTTATTTGGCTCTAGCTATAACATAAATCAAGAATAGTAAAGAAGGTAATTTTGGTAAACATAGGCATTGATCTAAATTTTTCATGTACCAATTACATCTGACTAGCTGGCGAGGAAGAAAGAAAATGTCACTATATTTAAGTAGATACTTTACTTTGAAAAAATCGTTCGTCATATTTTCTTGTTGGTATTAAAAAACAAAAAAAAACTCAACAGTAATTGTTCCCTTATAAAGTAAAGGTGATAACTTTTAGGATTTTCTCAGATATATTAAAATGGGATACAGTTACTTTATAGTGCAGTATCAGCAGCACACAGACGATTGACTGTAGAGGATATATGCTGCAGCAGAAGCCAATTACCATCTTAGAAATCAATGTTTTTTGTTTGTTTTTAAGAAAATCTCTCTTCTTTTTCTTCATGATCAGACAATAAAACAACTCCATGCTAATTTTAAGGTGATATTTCCTTTAAGTGTTGTACAATAACCAATAACATTTTTGCTTTTGTATATAAATACTTGTCACAAAATAAAATTCTTACATTTGTCTTGATAAAGTCCATAAGAGGACAAAATATATAAGTTAAAATAAGTTTTCTTATTGTTTTTTTGTATATACTCTATCATAAAATTTTACACATAAGGACTCAGATTAAACATATAATCAATGTTAGGTTGGTCTGACACTTCTGAAATGTTGTCCTTGCTCAGACAAATGAAAACTTCACAAAGTTCTTTTGTTTGCTGTGATACATGTTGCAACATTAAAAACAAATAGTGGTTTTTTATATATATATATATATATATATATATATATATATATATATATATATATATTATATTCTTCAGTAAGCACTATTTGATTATGATGATATAAAAATTTTTTTCTAATTTCAAATTGGATACCTTTAGGTTTTATTCCATCAGTTTATCATTTATTTCTTGTTACAATGTAACTATTTGTTTATTACCTAAGACAATGTTTTATTCCATTCATAATATTTCAATAGAGCTTATATTCATTTTTCTCTCTTTTCAGTTAATTTAGATGAAAGCCAAAAGGAATGGTTTTTGGATTGCTATAAGAAATTATGTCTAATTGGTTTGACAGATGTAAATATAGATGAGTCAATTGCTTCTGAATATATGGTGAGAATTTAATTAAAGTTTTTATTGTTTTCTTTCTATTTAACCATTATTACTTTGTACAGAATATTAAAATGAATAAGTCTATTGAATTTATAAAGTAAAATGATTATTCTATACCCTTATATTATGAAAGACCAACAATTATTTTTATATATATTTTTTGTTTATACATTATTTTTATAGATACAAATATTTAAATAAATCTTCTCTGGCTAAATGGTATAGCACATCAGGCTATTTGACAATTCTGTGTAGGATACAGGTTCAATTCCAGTTGGAGGACACATATTTTCTATAAAATTTCTCGGACATTCAGACCGATAAATGTTGTTAATACTGTTTATTATAAACAGTGCCTTTACTTAAATATTTGTATCTATAAAAATATAAAATGATGTCATATATTATGAAATGGACTAAGTTCGACAATTATTTTTATATATTTCTTGTTTATATGTTATTTTTATAGATACATATATTTAAGTAACTGCTCTGTTTATAATAAACTGTATTAACAACATTTATTGGCCTGAATATCCGAGAAATTTCATTAAAAAAAAAATGTGTCCTCCGAAAACAGAAAATATATTAAAATAATTGTCAGACTTAGTCCATTTCATAATATATGATGTCATTTGTTTAGTTAAGATACACTTCAGATATGATCATTTAAGAAAAATCATGAGAAATTTGTTGTTTAAAAACAGTAATTTGATTTTGCTAACCTGATGCTTCCACTGTAGCTAAATGGTAAATATGACAGTTCTATGTAGGATTCCTGTTAGATGACACATATCTCTTGGTAGTATGGTAACATTATAATATAAAGGTATTTTAATATTTTTTTGTTTATACATTATTTTTATATTTGGTAAATTAATATGCAACTGTTGAATAAAGATTCTTCATATAAGATGTTAATAACACTAAAATGTCAAACCTGATAACAATACATTCATACAAGATGTTACTAATACTACCAGGAAATTAATAGAAAATCATAAAATCCAACTAAATCTTACAAATAGAAAGATAAGTCATATATGGTGCAATGCAGTACAACTAAATATAAGAAAAGTATAATCAAATTCCAAAGTTTTAACTAAATTGTAAGGCAATGGGTAAACTATGTTTACAATTTACTGTTAATTCATTTCTTTGGTTTAATAAGGAAGTTTTATTGAATCTGATAATTTGCAGTTTTTCATGTAAGCTCAGAAAACAGGGTTCATATAAAGACAAAGCCCTTGCCATTTTTAAAATTTTCCATTTCATTTTAGGAGTTTTATTATCATCTTTTAAACTCCAAAAATATTTAGAGTTAATACATCATTTTCTATCTTAAACTTTGGAATTTGATTGTGCTTTTTATTATATTTTAGTTGTACTGCATTGCACCATATATGGTTTATCTTTCTCTTTGCCTGCTCTCAGCTGTCCAATTAACAATTCTGAGCAATTATACATTATACCACGCAGTCACCCATCTAGGTACTGACTAGGTTCAACGATGCTTAACTTTGGTGATTGTATGTGAACAAATATTTCAACATGATGCGGCTGTAAGCCCTGAATACATATTAGTTTTTCAAAATAATACTATATTTTTATTAAATAGTTTATAAAAGTGGTAAGTCTATTATGTAAAACTTTTATGATTAATTATTTCACTTGTATTTTTCTTTAACTTTACAGTATGGCAATCTAACGCCCAACAAACATCCAATTCTGGATTGTAGAATAAATGCTGCATATAACTTCCCTGTAAGTATTTATAAAATATAGCCATTTTATTCCAGTTTTATTTAATAAAATACTGGCAACTGAATATTACTATTTCCCTGTCAAATGTTAATTATTCAAAAACATAATTCATTGTCACTTTACTTCATATTAATAAAACCTCAATATTACTATTTTCCTTGTATGGAAAGTTTATTTTGTAATAGAAGTTTAAAGTTTAATAATGAAATACAAAGACAAAAAAATCAATTTATAAATCATAATCAATAAGAAAAACTTAATTCAGGTCAATAAAAAAAAAAAAGATTCCATTTTTAATATCTGAAAGCAAATATATTTTGGTAAATACTTAAATTAGTATCTTCAGATTCTAAATCCCTTTAAAAAAATACATTTGCCTTCAAGTATAAATATCAATGCTTTTCATGTGGATTTGAATTAATTTTATTTTATGCTTATCATGAATAAGTTATAAAAATTCAATGACTGTAAATATTTACATGAATTTTTTTTCTAAAATATTAATGACATGCACATTAAATTCAACAAATGCTCTTAAAATACAGCTTTAAGATGATTATGCATATCAAATTGGGTCATTAGTTTCCTGCAGTTATTTCAATTTTTATGAAAAAAGATTATTTAAAATATTTATAAGTAAAAATTTCCACTTGTTTTCTGGAGGTTAAAGTGAATAGTGTTAATTAAAGTTTAATTTTGTTTTTTCAGCCATTAATAATAAACTCAATCCTCAAAGTAAATTGTATACAATTAGTTTTATCAAACTCCTCACAAATAAATTCAACATTAGAATCTTTCCATAGATTTTTATTTCTTTAACGTATTTAAGCTCATTTTTTGCCATAAATACAGAATGTTTTAAAACATTTTTGTAAGAATATTTTATCATATACTAGCAGTAGAACCCGGCATTGCCCGGGGATGTAACAGTAAGAGATAGATCTAATATCGACCATCATAAAGACTGAAAAATAAAATTGACAAAGATTATTGTTTAAGGTTGGCGGACACGCATGTCTTAATTAGTTTTTTTTTGTTAACGAATTGGTCAAACTCAAACAAAAACATTGTTTTCAATCGTTATGTGTCTATCGATTGAATAGAATTTTATTATAAACAATTGTCTTGTAAATGGAATTTTTAAAGCATTCTGAATGTAAAAATAAAGAAAAAAGTGCATGACAATAAGAAACACTACCTGCCAAAAAAAAAGTGAAGTTTTGTTGAAATCGGTTGAAAAATGTAGGAAATCCGATCACATATATAAACGAACACACACACACAAACAACCTGGGTATAACTCGATATGAGTTGTCCCCCTTTCATTCTGGCGACTTAATCGTGTTTTCAAATTGATTTCATGCAAAAACAATTGTTTTTCCAATTTTTAGTGCTGTCAGAACAACCGCAAGGTAATTTTACGCAGTCCTGTGAGGTTTTGTTGAAATAAGTTGAAAAATGTAGGAAATCCGATCCAATATATAAACGTACAGACACACACAATCTGCATTTTATAATAAGTAAGATAATACTAAATAATTACTTAAATCCTACTACTCGATCAAATGTATTAATATACTAAATTAATGATTTAATATGAAGTAAAGTGACTATGAATTCTAGTTTTTGAATCATTAAAAGGAAATAGTAATATATAGTTATCAGTATTTTTTTGTTTTATTAATATGAAGTGACAATGAATTCTAAATGTCTGATGTTATTGTGAATAGTTGACATTACAATTAAATAACAAAATTCATTCTTTTTTTTTTTCTCTCTTAATACAAATTTCTTTCCTACTTCAATGCTATTATAAATAATTCAATTATTTTTGTCTCTTCTGAAACTGTTTACAGATTACATCTATCAGAGATGAAATTTAAATTTTTATTTTTGCATTATTCCAAAATTTTAACACATCAGCAGATAGCTATTAATGTCAATAACTGAGCACAAATAGTTATTAATTAAAAAAAAATTGGTAAAAGTGTGATATTATTCATAATTACATGAACAAGAATGTCATTTTTATTAATTTTAAAAAAAAAACCATAGATACATAAATAAATGCCCAAATTGTTGAAAATTCCTTTTTCCACAATATAGCTATTTGTGCTATGTTATAATGCTTATTACCTAAATAATAATACGGAATAAATTTTTTTAAACATTAAAGTATATTTAATCATTTCTCCCTAATAGCTGTCGCTATCTGTTAATACTTGCAGCTGTCTACCTTGACACACATTAATATTATTTTTTAAGATTTTTTTTGTTTTTAAAAAAATATTTGACCAATATAGGAGAAAGAATTTTAAAATTTTAATCTTCAACTTATTTGTTATTTATTTAAGAATGTAACACTTACAAATATTTTTAATCCTCTTTCTCTTTTTAGGCAATTTGTTTGTTTATTGGTTACAAAGATTTTGAATTAAAACTACAAGAAACATTTTCCCTATTATGTGTCGATCCTCTCCCTGCTGTTCGGAGAAACATAGCATATGGATTTCATGAGGTTTTTATCTTATTTTGTCTTTTATCTTACAATTTCAATTTCAGTATTTATATATATATATATATATATATATATATATATATATATATATATATATATATATATATATAAACTTGCTGTTTTTTGTAGAGTTTTTTTTGTTTTTTCTTTGTAAGCAAGCCTTGTTTCACAAAATTCATACATTTTTTTTTTTTTTTTTTTTTTTTTTTAATTTTAAGTTACTACAAAAGGTTTCTATTTAGGCTTCTATTTTTTTCATTTTCATATTCTTATATTTTTCTTGGGATGCCTGTAGATAAAACAAATATTGCTTAATACTTAAATTTCCTGATATTTATCTATTTGATTCTTATATATTGTGTTTAAATTCAAACATCCAAATGGTTTTTTCTTTTTCTAAAAATTTAAAACTAAAATATATGTTGATCAAATAGATTTATGAATTCTGAGCCTTGTATTTTATGATTACAAGTTTGTATATATAACTCTTAATGTCATATTGACGAAGAATTTATATTTAATTAAAAAAACTTATTAAAATTTTAAAAAAATGTGTTCAATTTCCATGTTTGTAAAATTTTCAATTTCAGCTAAAGAACTTTAAAGAAGACTAAGAGATAACATAACAGGACTGTGGAAGGCAAAACATTTGAATGGTATCTTAAAAAAAACACATCACAGCAAATATGCAATAGTAATTAGTACCACATGCTCTAATATGCTTACACTTAAACTGCACTGCCTAAAACAATTTGCAATGCACTATGCATTATTGAAACTGAACAGCAGGGTTATTTATTTTCATATAATTCAAAATACAAACTCATTTCAAATGAAATATACTTGTCTTTTAGTATGCAAGAAGTATATTACAAAATAAATATATGTATTTAAATTTCATATATTTTGGCATCAATGGAATTTCCCAAAATATAAAATCAATAGACATTTTGTTTATTAAATTTATTGATATTTTTTTTCTAATATCCAAATAACTAATGTAGCTGTTGTAGATGTGTTAAAAAAAGAAAAAAGAAAAAAAGGTAAAATTTGTTTTCTGTCCAACCTTTTAACTCGCATGAGTCATCTTCAGGAGTGAGAAAGAAGGGGGGGGGAATTAAAATTTTAAGCAACTCGTTGTTTTTAAGAATTTTATTATATTTTGTTTGAAAGTTAAATTCAAAACACAAATGCATAAATTCTGGAAGCTTAGGATTGGAGCCATTATTTTAAAGAAATTCTAGAAAATTCTAAACATTTTCAGAAGTAAAAAAAAAAATATATGTATATTTGAATTTTATTGATAATAAATAATAATGTCATTATTTCAGCTTTTATAATTTTAGATGAATTTTAAATATATTTCATTATTGGAGACATTTTCCTAAGAAGTTTTAAATATGTTCTTTACCTGCTACAAATATTTTGGGTGTTGGGATATAAAAATAAAATTCTCTATATTAAACTATTACTTATACAAATATATAAGATATACTAATTTTATATATATATATATATATATATATATATATATATATATATATATATATATATATATATATATATATATATTGATAACTAGACTCGTTTAAAAAAAAACCTCAATTTTTGATTTGCTAATCAAATCAATCTTGAGGGGAAAAAAGGTTTTAAAAAAAAAGAGCTACAAACATGAACTTCTGCCGACAAAAAAATCAGACAGATGCAGGTCTGAAGCCCAAAGAAAAACCCCGATACGAGTAACAACTAACTAACAAAAAAGCTCAATACAACCGTAAAAGCAGACCTAGATACATTTAGTGAGCCAGACAAACCTAGGTAGGTTTGTCTGGCTCAATGTGTGTGTGTGTGTGTAATATATATATATATATATATATATATATATATATATATATATAGTGTGTGTTAACAAACATTGGGGTGGGTTCTTGATACCAAAAAACAAGGACAAATGTCCATAAAAACAGATTTGCAAATCTTTCATTTTTGAGTTATTAAATTTAAAGAAAGTTTACAGCAGATGGTGCTGTGTTGCCATATAGACTAGGTTACATTTGTTATTTTGTACATGTAATGAGTTGGTTGTCAACTTGACACTTTAAAGTGAGTGGAGGTGGGCAGGCACGGAACTGTGATTGGTAGCTGGCTTGTTGGTGTATTGCATAGGTGAGTTACCAGCTCTATGTAAAGGGCTGGAATGAGAAGGAGGGCAGTTTTTTCAGTCTCAGAGGTGGAGACTGACCCCGCTATAACAGCAGGAGAAAGAGACAAAATCATTTGACAGAACACATTCCAACACAAGCTATTTCGGCATTTACTTTGTCTCTAGCAAGATGGCGGAAAGACCGTTCGACATAAAACTTATCTCCGAATTCAGTGGTGATATGAGTGGACAGTCTGTGGTTGAATGGATCAAAAGGTGGAACTGGTCTGCTAATGCTCTGAGATCATGAAGATTGAGCGGATTCTTCCCTGTGATTGAACGGGCGATTGCCTTTGCTGTGTATAGCAGCTGAGCAAAGAACAGAAAAGTGACATTGAGCAAATAGCACACTCTACCAACCACGTTTGGAACTGAGCGATGCGTGGCCGAGTAGGAGGGGCGCGGTGCTTATTTAAGCCTAGGGCACGAGCCGGGTGGATTGGACAAAGGGTGCAGAATCGATTGGTAGTGAGCAATATTTGAACTGGATGCTTTGTGATCTTAAGATCTGGATTGGGTGCGTGTAATGATTTGGGGTGTCAAGTTGGAAGACCAACTCATTACACGATCAATTGATCAGAGGGGGCGTGTAATGAGTTGGTCGGTCAACTTAAAACCCTAATGAACCAGTGGAGGCAGTATGCACAGGAACTGTGATTAGTAGCTGGCTTGTTGGTGTATTGCATAGGTGAGTTATCAAGCTCTATGTAAAGGACTGGAATGAGGAGGGCAGTTTTTTTTTCAGTCTCAGAAGTGGAGACTGTGTCCATCGCTACAACAGCAGGAGAGAAAGAGACGAAATCATTTATTTTTTCTTGACACATTCCAGCACAGTACATTCGTGGCTAGTCTGTCTTCAACGTTTAACGTGTGTAATAGTGAGTTAACTGAGAAGTGTTATGTTTAACAGTGACAGGATATTCATAACATGAGCAGGCAGATATGATGTTTACATAGGGCTGCACAAATGGTAATGGACATAGGGCTGCACAAATGGTAATGGACATACAAATGGTAATGGACATGGGGCTGCACAAATGGTAATGGACATCGGGCTGCACAAATGGTAATGGACATAGGGCTGCACAAATGGTAATGGACATAGGGCTGCACAAATGGTAATGGACATAGGGCTGCACAAATGGTAATGGACATAGGGCTGCACAAATGGTAATGGACATAGGGCTGCACAAATGGTAATGGACATAGGGCTGCACAAATGGTAATGGACATAAGGCTGCACAGCTGCATTAGATTACATTTCCAGACCAAAGCCAACCAAGTCATCCAACCATTGCTTCTGTTTAACGTAGTGTTGCTTAGACAGGATCCATGGCTTAGACTGAGATCCACCCATATACCTAACAACAAAAAACACATTCTACTAGCTGAGATAATCCAGGTATCAGCATACATCAAGTGGTCCTAGCATGTCGTACATCTCACAGTACCAAATTGAGGGTTTTTCCAGAGCAACTCCTGTATTTGTATCATTTTTCATCGTGTGCAAGGTCTTTTGCCCTCTGATCACTCACCACGGGAGAACTTTTGCCAATGATTTATTGCACAAACTGCTGATCCATTGTTTGTCTCTTTGTTCTTGATGTGGCAATATTTGGAAGAGATGAAATAACAAATTTATGCAAACAACATTTGTGGGCGGATCAGAATCCTCATGGTATAATACAAGCTAAACACCAATTAATGTGCAGGCTGGAATTGTAGGTTCATATGTTCTCCCAGCACATCTTACAGAAGCTGTCTACAGGGATGTTAATTCAAACACACTTCCAGACCTGCTAGAGGGTGCATCTCTGCTAATACGAAGACACATGTTGTTCATGCATGATAGAGCTCTAGCACGTTTTAGTCACATTGTGATGCATTGGTTGGCATCTACCTTGAAAGATGGATAGGTAGGGGTAGACCTGTTCCATGGCTTGCATGTTCCCTGATCTCAATCCTTTCAACTTTTATCTGTGGCACCACCTAAAGCAATTGTTTTATGCAGTAGATATTAATAATGCAGAGATGCTTCATCAATGTATCATGGGGGCCTGTGAAACCATTCAACACCATGTAAGAGTATTTAAAAGGGTCCACCCATCAATGACTTGACAGGTGCATGCATGTGTAGAAGCAAGTGGAGGACATTTTTGAACATTTGTTATGAGTTGCTGTGTGCAATGATGGCCTTTTGTACATAAATTTATATGGACATTTTTACCTTGTTTTGGCATCAGAAATCCACCCCCAAAGTTTGTAAAAATATTTTTGATAAGTCTGTGTGTGTCGAGATATATATATAATGAAAAACAGACCACTTTAAGGTACCATTACAATAATTTATTTCACCAAAATCCCTTTTAAAGGATTTCTGATCATCAGGTAACACTTCCAACAATGAAATGAGAGGAAAAATGTGATTAGAAATATATATATATATATATATATATATATATATATATAGGATTATGACTTTTTTAATGAACTTTTGTTCAAAAGTAATGAAAAAGCCATTAATTTGTTTTAGCCCCTGAAAAGGGTAACCCCCAAACTGAAAATTTTTTTACCATATACGCATCAAGGGTAAGAAATCAAAATATTTCAGAAGCTTTATTTTTCAATTTGCTAATCTAAGTATTTTTTTAATTCATTTAAAATTTATAGCGAATAAACAAAAATTGCAAACTTGCAGAAACTTTATTTTTCAATTTGCAAATGATGTAATTGGATAGTACTTAAGCATTTTGTAACACATTTAACAGTTTATAGCTATAACATAAATTTACAAATAAATAAAGACAAGTTCTAGAAAGGCTCTAGAAAGTCATAGTACAACTATACTTATATACGATTTTAGAAATTTCATATTGGAGGTAACATTTTTTTTTTTTTTTTTAAAGAACTGAATTAAGCCCTTCTTCATTATTTTTTAACAAAATTTCATGGAATTATGATACAGGAAATAAATTATTTTACAAAAAGTCATAACCCTTATATATATATATATATATATATATATATATATATATAATATATCTTCATTCAAGCATGTTTGGTTGAATAATCTGGACATATGTCTATTTAATTTTTTTTTTTTGATCCTCTCAAATTCTCTGATCAACTTAATGTTGATATTAAATTCATTAAGGAAGGTGGCATAATTTGTTTTTTTTTTATTTCTTTTATTTTCCAAAGTACTTTCAATCTTATCTAATGGAGCACATTCATGTGTGTTTATTATAACAAAGTACATTTCATGCATGTTTTCAAACAAATTCATGCCAATCAATTACATTAAATTTTTGTCTTAGCAATTCATCCCTGAAGATAATCTTGGATAAGATTGAAACTACTTCAGAAAATAAAAGCAATGAAAAAAACCAAAGTGCCTTACTTAATTCAAAATCAACATTAAGACGTTGATCTGAGAATTCAAGAGGATTAAAATAAAAACAGACATATGCCCAGATTAATCAACCAAACATGCTTGAAAATATATATATATATATATATATATATATATACACACACACTAATGTATAATTATTTTCTCTTTTAAAAATATGTTTCCATTGCAACACAAAAATTTCTGTTTCATAAATGAAGCTAAAATTGTAAATTTAATTATAAAAATTAAAGTTTCATTCCATTGTCAAGCGATGCTAGGAATAACCTTCTCAGAAATTTACTTACTTTATAAGCACAATCTTTATATTTTGAATTATGGTTAAGGAAAATTTAATCTATTTTAATTAGGGTTGGTTGGGCTTTAATTTCCCTAGACAACTTATTTATCAAATGTATGTTACTTACAAAGTCGGATTAAGTTTAGGTACAGTTGGGGTGCCTGCTAACAAACATCCATTTTCAGTGTGTTGTCTGGGTTTTCAATGACAAAAAAAATTGGCATTTTTATTTATCCACTTAATTCATATTTTCATACACAAAGATTTTCTAAAAGGTTCATTTAAATATGAGCAAGTCATATTTTTAATATTTAAATTTTATTCCTAGCAATTTAAAGTACCATTCCACCTTCTAATAACTAATAGACTATATGGTATTTTTTACAAATAAATATATTAGAATCTAATTTTGTATTTTAAAAAAATTTATTAATGATCAATATATATATATATATATATATATATATATATATATATATATATATATATATATATATATATTTATATTTTTTTTTTTTTTTTTTTTTTTTTTCCAAAATTAATTATATTTGGTACATAAGTTGTCTAGGGAAATTAAAACCCACCCACCCCTAATCAAAATAGATTGAATTTTCCTTAACCTTAACAACTCAAAATATTGTGCTTATAAATTAAGTAAATTTCTTAGGAAGTTATTCCTAGCACCACTTGACAATGGAACAAAACTCTGAATTTTATGTTTCATTTTTATAATTAAATTTACAATTTTAGCTTCAGTTTTGAAACATAGAAATTTCTGTGTTGCAATGGAAACATCTTTTTAAAAAAGAAAATAATTATAATATTATGCCTTACTGTTTGTAACAATAAGAATAATTTCTAAGAACACCAGATTATGAATCTTACTGTTCTTATTATTTTAATATATGTATATATACACTAAACTAATTAATAATTAAGTTGTCTATATTGCACTATCACCTCTTTCATTCATATCACATACATCATAACTTTTTTAACAGTAACACTCTATCTTGAGAGACTCTTGAGCTTTTTTTTAACTTTAGTATAACAGAAAATTTAGCTAACAGTTATACAGATGCATTTACTTTAAGATTTTTCAAGAATTATGGATATTCATGAATTACTTACTTTTGTTTATTAAGATGAGAAATTGTTTTTTTTTTTTGTCTTTCTGTTTTTTCTATTTAATGTTTACTTGTAACTCATTTTGCCTTTCAAGTGTTAAAATTTATTTCATTCTTTCTACATTTTCTGCCACCTTCAAAATTGTTTTAAGCCACCACTAAACTTTGTAGGTAATGATTTATTTTTTTTAGCTATGAATTTACCAGCATATTTTTCAAGACTGCAAAACAAAAAAATTATTCCCTGATGATAGTCAGGTGGAGCCAGATCAGGGGAATGGGGGAGGGTGATCAACCAGCTGTCATTGAAACCAAGTGTGCTACCACATCACTCTGATTAAACAAAATCCCTTTCATCAGTGATTAGTGGGTGATTACTCTTGATAGCCTTTCATAACTGCCTCAGCAAGTTGGCATAGTACTCTCCGTTAATGGTGTGGCCCTTTTGAAGATAGTCAATAAACACGATGCTTTTGCATGTTAAAAAAACTGAGGCAGATGAAAACAACCTTGGCCTTTGGAGCAGGTGAGCAGGGGTGTTTCTACTGCATGTATTGTATCTTTTTCTGGGATGTAGCCAAAATGGTGAACCCAAAACTCATCCTGGGTTAAGAAACATTCAAGGAAAACATCTAAATATGTCTCAAACAATGTCAGATTGTCCCATGATCTGATCAGCCTGGTGCACTTTTGATCAGGTGTCAAGATATGGTACCGACTGAGCAGAAACCTTCATCATACCAAGTTTATTGTGCAAAATATGCTCAACTTTCTCACAGGAAGTACTAAGATTGGCTATTCGATTTATAGTCAATCACCTGTCATCCATCAGCATTTGGTGAATATGATCAATGTTTACTCAGTGGTGGCAGTTGCAGGGCTTCCAGACCTTGGGTCATCTTCAAGACTCTCCCTAAACATCCTAAATTCAGCTGCCCACTTTTGCACTGTTGATAAACTTGGGGCATCACCCCCTAATGTGGCAACCATGTCAGCATGAATGTTCTTGGGGGATAGACCCTTTTTCTGCAGGTACTGATGCCAAATTTTGTCCATTTTCAAGAGAAGTCACTATTAGTTACTTTTGAATCTTCTTTGAATAGTCAAATGTCAGTTTACCTGAAAAGAAACAATGCAGTTATTAATAAGAAGAGTTGAAATGAATGCGTGCAAGATTTCACAGTTCTAGCATCACTCTTTCATAGTCAACCTATGAAGTTTTGAGACCACTTTCACAATAAAATTGTTAATAATTCTCAATCCTTACTATCATCAAAATATTTTACTGAAATGACAGCTGCCTTTGGATTAGCCACTATTCAGTTATATGCAAACTCAGAATAAAATTACAGAAATTAAAGAAAACCTTAATATCTAAATTCCAATATGATAAACTCCTGAATGATTCAGCTTTTAAATGTGTTTGTTTTATATATATATATATATATATATATATAAACCCAAGCTCAGAGAGACTCCTTTCACCCTCATCAAAAGTAGCTAGCCTGTTCCAGATATCAACCTGCAATACTTTATTATTTGTGGTCTTTTGTGCAATTCTCGAACTAACCTCAAAAGTCATAGCCACATAGGTATGCAGATAATTAGTAGGTGGTCATTGGAACCTCGTATATCAAACTCAACAGGAGAGTCCATTGAATACTGGTTTTAGTGCTCGATTTAGATAACACAACTATAAATTATATATTAATAATAAATATGCATTTTTTTTCCTCTCAGGTAGCACAACTCTGACTTTCATGCACAACGCAATCTTCAGGTGCTGATTGAAAATTGCATTGTGCATGAAACTCAGAGTTGTGCTTCCAGTGAGGAAATATATAACCTGAAAAAGTTCCTTCTCAGAATTAAATGCATCACTAAGGAGTTTTTTCCTATTTTATCATTGGCTTACCTACAGTTATGTAGTTATAATTAAGTCTAACAGTATACTATTCTTGCCAAATTATTTAAACTAAGATATCTGTCTGCTTAATTTGAATCTTCTGAGTTTCATTCACTGTGGATTGAAATCAAGTCATTAAAAATAAACTTAAAATTAAGCCAAGACTGTATTCATATTCTAAAAAATAAAAATCTATTTCTTCATCAGACATTTAATTGAAATTTACCTGTTCTAATTAGCAGGGCTGATGCAAGGGTCTTGTCTCCCCACCCCCACTCCCGAATCTATGATATGGTGCCTCCCCACTTTACTACATCTAAATTTTCATAAGGTAGTATTCATATAATATACAAATTTTATTGTTATCTAATTATGTACAATAATGGTTCATATGCAATGTAGGTGAATAATTCAACTAGAAAAATTGAAAATAAATACTAGAGGAAGATATGTCAAAATAGATCATTCCATCTTAAATAAATTATCTAGATACAAATCTGAGACATGTCATAATAGATCATTCCATCTTAAATAAATTAACAATGTTTTGCAGCAATTTTTAACATCAACTTGAGTTTTTCTTGTTAAAAAGTTAAAGAATTTTTACGCATTCAACATTATGGATGGAAAAAAGTGAATTTTATATAGTGTTATTTCAAGACTTAGCATGCACAAAACAAATTCACGTATTTGGATTAAGGGTGGGGCTCAGAATAGCATCAAAATCTGTGAAATTTTTTTCATCCTTTGATAATAAATTATGCTTAGCTTAATTTATAGCATATATAAATGATGGTAAAAAAAAAAAAAAAAAAAAGCAAATGAGGGTCACAAAGCGCTGGATTGGGCCCCGATTAGGCTCCCGTTCAGTTGGGGGGTTCAGAGGTTGTGTGCACCAGCCCTGCTGATTAGTTGAATTTGCATGTAATTTGATAGTTGCATTTTATTTAGTATATGAAACTTATATGAAATATTCGTATATGAAACTTACATTAAAATAACATTTTATGCTATAGATATATTTTTCTATACTTCAGGTCATTAAATTATTAGGCCCTCTATCAGTAATACTATTGAGAAACTTGGCAAATCTTTTGAGAGATAATAATATAGAGGTATGTATATTTCTTCATATATAGTTTTAATTCTCTCTCTTTCTTGCCTTCTCTCATTAAAATTTTGAATTCATTTAATATTTTATCATGATATCTGTTTTAGGTACTAAAAGGAATTTCACCCCATCTACCTGAGATATTTGAAGTACTTGGCAAACATAAAGTTTCGGAAACACAAGTGAGTAATTTTCCTGTTATATTCAAGTCCATCAAATTCTTCTTATTACCATTCTTGTTCTTCTTATTACCATTCTTGTTCTTCTTATTACCATTCTTGTTCTTCTTATTACCATTCTTGTTCTTCTTATTACCATTCTTGTTCTTCTTATTACCATTCTTGTTCTTCTTATTACCATTCTTGTTCTTCTTATTACCATTCTTGTTCTTATTACCATTCTTGTTCTTCTTATTACCATTCTTGTTCTTCTTATTACCATTCTTGTTCTTCTTATTACCATTCTTGTTCTTCTTATTACCATTCTTGTTCTTCTTATTACCATTCTTGTTCTTCTTATTACCATTCTTGTTCTTCTTATTACCATTCTTGTTCTTCTTATTACCATTCTTGTTCTTCTTATTACCATTCTTGTTCTTCTTATTACCATTCTTGTTCTTCTTATTACCATTCTTGTTCTTCTTATTACCATTCTTTGTTCTTCTTATTACCATTCTTGTTCTTCTTATTACCATTCTTGTTCTTCTTATTACCATTCTTGTTCTTCTTATTACCATTCTTGTTCTTCTTATTACCATTCTTGTTCTTCTTATTACCATTCTTGTTCTTCTTATTCTTACTACAGTGGTGTTCACACTGTACAAGGCTCAGTGGGTAATCAAGGTAAAGGATTACAGAAGCACAGCTTGTACTGATATGCAGGGAAGATAATGACTAAGCCTAGGCTTGAACAGGTTAAGATTGTAGTGATCAGGGAAGCAGCCTCTTGGGAGTCAGTTCCACAAGGTAGCAGTTCATGGGGAAGAAGCTGCTTGAGTGGAACTTACACCTCACCAATGGGTCATGAAGGGAACAAGGATGGTTCATTACAATGTGTGTAGTCATAGACATGAGGGTTAGTGCTGGTGGAACTAAGGAGTGTAGTTCATCTGAACACTTTCCATAGAAATAGCAATAGAGCAGACAGAGGCTTGCAATGTTTCATCTGTGCAAAGAGGTTGTAGAGTGGAAAATAATTTGTCATCCACAAGGACATGAAGGGTCTTTTGAACTCTGTCTAAACTGGAAATTGAAGACTGGGCAGCTCCTGCTTGTATATGACTGCAGTACTCCATTTTGGGCCTGATCTGGCTCTTGTAAAGGTAGAGGATCGTAGGAGGAGTCGGGTACTTACTGGAGTGGTACAGTGAGAATATAATAAAATAAATGTTTTGGCAGCATTTTCTAGATGATGTAGGAGAACTGTGACATTACTAATTATGTCTGTAGTGATAACTATATCATTTATGTAGTCAATATCATTCAACTTTTTTGCAGGATATCAACTTCAGACTCTTTATTACATGTATTCTTTAAGTAATTAAAATATTTTTTATTTTTGGCAGATTTAATTGCAATTTCTTAATGGATACTATTTTCAGTTCTTTGTCTGTGTAATAGAGAAATTAAATTTTTTTTTATTCCATATTTTGCAGGTTACAGGAATCATTCCAGCCCTCATGGCAGCAGTATCTGTGATTTTTTCATCTTTTAGTTGGCGACTACAAAAAGAATTTATGCTCAGCTTATCAAGTATCCCAAAGTGCTTTAACTCAGAAACAATATATAATAAAATCATGCCTGTGATTTATTATAAACTTAAAAAAGCAGTAAGTTTGTTGAAACATAATTTTATTTACACTACAGGCATCCCTCAATTAATGTTTTTGATTAGTGCACATGCAAATGCAAATTTTTTATATACCAAAATTCGATTAGTGCCTACATAATACTCAGTGCAATAAAACATTCTTCAGTTTAGCCATAGTAATTGAAAATTGATTTTTTCTATAGTTACCGATATACACATTAGCTGCACTAATTGAGGGATTCCTGTCTTTATATACAGACCTTGTCTTTGTTGTTGCTATCAAAACATTATCTTCCTTTTTTATGGAAGAGCATAGATTGCTGATGAACTGGAAATTATCTGTGACTGGACTATAAATTGCCAAGAGGAGCCACAGTGTGTGATTAAAAATGAGGAAAGTTGTAGCTGACGAATGACCTACAAGTCAATACCCAATCAGTATCAACGTAGAATGGGCATATGGTATTGAATAACCCAAAACCTTTAATGAACTTCACCTAAGGAAAGAATATCACAATATAAACAACATAACAGTGCTTTAAAAGAGCAAGGGTGAATGATATAATTTCTCAAAATAGTGGGTTTATACCCAAAAATATAAACCTAACCATTAGAAATACTAGTATCTACACCAACTAACATAATTGATACCATATGATTTTGTCCCCCCCCCAAAAAAAAATCATTATTTGATACAATATGATTTTGTACAAAAAATGTCAATATTTGATACTATACTATATGTTTTAAAAAAAAAATTCAATATCTGATACCATATGACTGCATAAAAAAAAAATCAATATTTGATACCATTTTTTCTCACTATTATCTTTCAAATGTCTATTTTTTTTTTTTTAGCTTAAACAACTTTATTGATATGTATTCATTTTCATTTTTAAAACAAAGTAAAAACTTAGATGAATACATTTTCTTTTAATTTGTTCAAATTTTCACTACAATTGACTATTTTACAAATTAGAACATTTGTCAAACCCTAAAATTTCTTTGTCATATTTTGCTATGATTTCTTGCTTTCTATTTTTTTCATTGATTTTAATCTTTTAATGAATTAAAATAATTTTTTTTTTCACTTTTGCGTTATCAAAACACATTTGATATGACTTTTTTCTTTTAAATATCAGAGAGCAGTGCCTGTACGGTTAGCAATTGCAAGGACATTCCTGACATTGATACGAACTTTAAGGAAAGCAGAACACCGAGAACAACTATTAAATCAACTTACAATAGGTAAATAGTTTTGCTTTAACTTAGTTTTATTGAAGCTAAATATGCATTAAACTAAAGACTCCTGTTTGACTGCAAAATTGTAGGAAAATTGATAATTCTTTTCATTAATTTCATAGAAATTTACTTCATCTTAAAAGTTTCACTAAAGATGTATCATCCTTAAGTGTTATATCATGTTTAGATATGTTATTGTGTTCATTTTATCTGTTTTTTACATGTCTATATGTTGAGAGTGCTTCTCTCAACTGAGTAAAAAAAAACTTCTTGTTAGATTAAATTATTTGATAAATAATATCTATATATCAGTTCAGATAAGGAAAATGTTAGTAAAATTCAGGTTTTTGCCCAATTAATTTGCAGTTCATTTTATTGCCATTTATCAACTTTATAAATGAAAATGTTTTTTATTGATACTGTTCATCAAATATTGACCAGAGCCTTCTATTAAATGAGAGTTAACTTACTCAAACTAATTTGAACATATTAAGAGAATCTCTAGTGACATTGTTGGATGAGATCATCCCAAAAGAAATAAGACCGGATAAAAAAGAATGGATGACAGATGAAATTCTGGATATGATGAAAAAGCGACAACAAACAATGCCAAGGAATGGTACAGATTATAGAATATTAAACACTAACATTAGAAACAAATGCAGGCAGGCAAAAGAGGAATGGCTTAATGAAAAGTGTACAAAGATAGAAAGAATGCACTTTATGGATACAGTAGGCATTCATAAAAGAAAAACAAAATAACAACAAAAGATGTACTCCTTGACATGACGGGTGACCACTTGCAAATACCAGGTGCTGTAAGTTTGGATATGCAGGTACTGTAATGGATAATGGCTCAGAATTGTTAATTGGAGAGAAAAGTTCCAATTCCAGTTAGATTCATTATATTCACTTACATACAAATACCCTTAAGAAATGTTTGAATCCATCTCTTTTCCCCCTCCCAGCTATGGTGAATTTTTAAGCATAACTTAGATGTGGTACAAAGCCAAAAGTATGAGGCCCCCAGTTAGGATTGAACTCACTATTCAGTCATAATTCATCTAGCAAGACTAGCTTTCTAACTATCACACAGTGTTGGAGTGCTCAAACTTGTATCACTAAAAACCATTATCATCTCCCAAAAAATAAAGGCACACTTTCTTTTCTTTTTTTTTTCTTTTTTACTAAAGGTATCTTTTAAAATTCCCTTGCATCTTATGTCATATGTAGGTTTACTAATTTTACTAATTACTAATTTTTTCTTGATTTCCCCTCCTAGAATTGGGGTGCATCTTATGCACCGTCAAATATAGTACATACAAAATATTTAGGATTCCAGCATTAAATAACTTATACAGGTTGACATTCCACTAAACAAAAATAACCAACCAACCATAGCATTATTCAAAGTAAAGAATTTATCCAATTAATCTAGGTTGCTTAATGTAAATCCTGTCAGTTTGAATAAAAGATTGTATTTATTTTTATCTTTGCTCCAAAACTTGCATTGTTTAAGTTTTATTTGTTAATTTTCTGTGTAATTGTTACTATTTCTTTTCAGATTTACTAAAAGGAAACTGCTATTATAGGGCCCTTTACCTTGATATTTGTTCTATCAGCTTGGATATATATTCAAAATCCTTCTTTAAAGAACACTTTTTTGAGAATTGTCTCAGTCTGTATCATGATCCTGTGCCAAATATTCGGCTAAAACTTTGCCGATTTATTCCTCAAATGAAACAGACACTCAATTCTCCAGAGGATGATGCTCGCTTGTATGAACTCACTAATGTCATCAGCAAAATACGATGTACTGATCTCGATAAAGATGTTCTGAAGTGTGCTGCAGAGGTAAGTATCTCATATTTCCACCTAACTTTAGAAAAATATCATTAGACACTTAAGCTTAATTCACATTTAAAATCAGTCCAAGTTATTGGAACACCCTTTATTAAACTTAATTAGTTTTGATATTTCTTAACAGTAATTTGAGAAGCCAATTAAAAACATAATCTATATTAACTATGATTGGAGAAAAGTAGAAGTACATTGTTTACTTTTTAATTTAAAATTGAAACACTTTGAGAGAAAAATAATCATTTATTTTCTTCGCTATGGTACCTAGACATTTTGAATCTAAGTGCATTACTAGACTGGCGTCAAGATATCATCTATTTACAGTTAAACTGGATGTAACCATAAATTCTATGCTAACAGTTTCTTGTACTGCTTGTGGAACTCACTTCCAGCTCCATGTTTTCCAACCAACTTTAATCTGCAAAAATTTAAATGCAATGTCAATTGCTATCTAATGTCATCCTGATTACTCTCTTCTCATTCTGCTCATCATTAATGTTTCTGTTCCTAATTTTTCCACACCCTGTAACCCCTTGTGTCTTGGTGGCTTTACTGCCTTGCATAGGGTGATACCAATAAAAAAAATATATATATATTTCCAGAAAAAACATTTATTTTGTGAAAAATAATAATTTCATGTAGATTTTTTTTCTTTATTTTGCAAATCAAATCTTCAGCGAAGTTTTGTCATATGGGTTCTTTAGAAAAATGATTAAGCAAGAAAAAGAAATGTTTCTATTAATGATAACCAAGGAATTCATTATATTTGAAAGTCTTTAAGGCAATATTTCTTTGAAGATTAACTATTAGCTACCAATGGCAAATTAAAATTTCTTAAATGTAATGATTTTATCAGTGCTCAAATTTTTACTTTGATTTATAACAAGAAAATTTGGTCTTTACCCGAGTGGTACCATATTTGGTCTTTACCCGAGTGGTACCATATTTGGTCTTTACCCGAGTGGTACCATATTTGGTCTTTACCCGAGTGGTACCATATTTGGTCTTTACCCGAGTGGTACCATATTTGGTCTTTACCCGAGTGGTACCATATTTGGTCTTTACCCGAGTGGTACCATATTTGGTCTTTACCCAAGTTGTACAATAGGCACTGCAAGCAAAAATAATCACTTTTCAAATGTTTTTAATATCACTATGGATCAGTTTTTTCAACCATTGTTCCTTGGAATTCTAGGATTCCACAAGAGGTCACTAGGGGTTCCATGAGAAACAATAATAAATAGGCTAATGCATTTTTGTGTAATTTTTGTTTAATTTTATACATGTAATTTTACTATACACATATGGCATATTGTTGGTAAATCCGTGGTTATTATAATAAAATATAAAAGAGTTGTATAATAATGATATACAATAATTTTTATGCAAGAGTTCACTGAGCCATGAAAACTATACAAGTGTTCCATATGGGGGGATAGGTTGAGAGACACTGGTATAGATAAGATATAATTTTTTTTGTTTTAAATTTCTAAACATTAATAGAGTTTGCTAAGTAAATTCATTGTAAATTAATGCCACTATACAAACTTAAGCAAATACATGATTTCTTAAAATGTAAAAAGCAATTTTAATTCTTGAAATTCATAATCTAAAGTTCTTTCTCATATTGTTAATTACACAATTCAGATTACAAATTTAAAAAATATTTTGAAGATAGGGATTATTTCAGGACACAGTACCTATTGTACAACTCCATCAAAAATATTGTTATTTACCTCTTAATATTGTTTAATCTGTCATATATGAGTTCTGTTGTCATTTATTTTATTTTTATTTTCTTGAACACAGGCATTATGGGAATTAGAACAAATTGTGGTTCCTGTTCATTTGGTAAGAATTTTTATCTTTTTGTTTTTAAAAAAAAAGAGTTAAATCATATAGGAGTTAATATACTATAAAGTATTAAGCATAAATTTTCCCATAAAAACAGACATTTACAGGCAAAACTGACTGGTTATGATTACATCTTCAGGCCCCACACAATATATAAAATATATATGTGTTTATGTATATATATATATATATATATATATATATATGTATATATATATGTATGTATATATATGTATGTATGTATATATATATGTATGTATGTAAGTATATGTATATATATGTATGTATGTAAGTATATGTATATATATGTATGTATGTAGTATATATATATATATATATGTATGTATATATATATATATATATATATATATATGTATATATATATATATATATATATATATGTATATATAT